GATTCTGTATGTGTGTGTGTGTGTGTGTGTGTGTGTGTGTGTGTGTGTGTGTGTGTGTGTGTGTGTGTGTTCTTACAACTTGTATGTTAGTCAAGTGCAATCACATCTTAATGTTCATTGTCGTTTTACTAATCTCATGTTAAATGTTAAGTTTGTTGTCTTAGAAAATTAATTCCAAAAAAGTGAAGATATTTTAAGATTAAGTGAAAATCAATCTTGTTTAATGTTTTTGATTCTTGTACACCCCTCAATTATTAATATATAAAAATATATTTGAAGTATATTAAAATTTAAAACAACTTTTAAAAAATTGCATAATTATTCATATATTTTATGTATGTTGACTTTTGTTATGCACTTATTTACAGCAATCGATTTATACATTTATAATAAACTATAAAGCATGTTGTCCTTGAACAGTCGCCACTATAGTGTGCTGTGCTGCATTATGAATGCTCCAGTCACTCACAGAAAGGAGTGTGAACGTATGGTTTCCCTACTGATCTGGAGAGGAGAAAAAATGATGCATCAAGTTTTGTTCATTTCACATTTATTTGTATAGGACTTTTTATTATACACATTGTTTCAAAGCAGCTTTACAGAAAATTAATGTTTAGTGATGCTCCATCACATTTCAGTCCTGTGGCATCTGCTCCTTCAACACAGTACTTCTATAGCAGCTAAGACGTTTAAGTATAAAATACAGTAATAATGTACAGGTTGGTAACACTTTATTTCGATAGTCCACTTTAGACATTCTATTAACGGTAAGTAACTTTGCAACTACATGTCAACTAGCAGTTAGTAGAGTATTAGTAGACTGTCTGCTTAATATCTTCTAACACTTTCTTTGTCAACTTATTCTACTAACCCTAAACCTACACTGTAAAAAATGACTGTGACTTTAACGGTAAAAACTGTAAAAATGCTACAGTAAATGCCTATTAAATGGTTAACGGTAAATTCCCCTACTATATACGGTGAAAAACTGTATTGGACATTACATGTATTGGATATTAATTTTACGGTAGTATACCGTTTTTGGAAGTGAAAAATACCGTATAATTTACAGTGAATAACCGTAAATTGACATTCCCAGAATTCTCTGGGTTACATTTAAAATTGGATGTTTTTTTGTTGAAATAACTATGTTTCTTCTTAGTTTTTTCTTATCAGTTTTGTATATTAGGGTTGTGTGTTACACCTAATGTTGTTAAATGAATGTTTATTGCATTATTTCAGTTTCATGTGTGTTACCGTGATGGTGTTTAGCGTTTGTATGAATGACACACTGTGCACCTTCTATATATGCTATTATCTAAAAGCTGCTTGTGATGGGCTTTGGTTCATCATGTGACTTTCTCATCACCTCCTGCATTTGGTGGTTATCAGTGTATTACAAAGGTACAAAACAGATTTCAGTACTTCAATAGGTTGGTATATTAACATTATATCAAATGAAATTACGGTATTTAACTGTAAATTTAAGTTAAAACCGTAAAACCTAAAACGTTGCTACCGTATTTTTTACGGTAAAATTCCGGCAACCACAGCTGCTGGTTTTTAACCGTAAATTTTACGGATTTTTTTTTACAGTGTACCCTAACAGTCTACTCTGAGAGTTAGTAGACATGTAGTTGCAAATTAATGAGAATTAGTTGACATGTAGTTGACATGTAGTTACAAAGTTACTTATAGTTAGTAGAATGTCTAAAGTGTAAATAAAGTGTAACCTACAGGTTTACTGTGATTACTCATCTAATATAGTAGTGGTATATAATATATATATTTAGCCTAGCAGAATTCTGAAATGAAAACTGCTCACCTATTTTAAACTTTTCATTCTCACTTAGGTCCATCAGGATTCTTTGCAATAAATCCAAGTCTATTAAGTAACTCCCCACCAGCAAAAATAACGTTCAAAGCCTTAATTACACAACGATGGATGAAACTGCATGAAGAGAATGTGTAACCTACAGGTTTACTGTGATTACTCATCTAATATAGTAGTGGTATATAATATATATATTTAGCCTAGCAGAATTCTGAAATGAAAACTGCTCACCTATTTTAAACTTTTCATTCTCACTTAGGTCCATCAGGATTCTTTGCAATAAATCCAAGTCTATTAAGTAACTCCCCACCAGCAAAAATAACGTTCAAAGCCTTAATTACACAACGATGGATGAAACTGCATGAAGAGAATGAATAACATCCCGTTAATCTACTAATTAAGTGAGGAATAATCTAATAATGATCTGTTTTAATGCACAAGGTAATTTGATTAGCTGTGATGATAATATACAATTTTATTCAATAAATGTCTTGCCTTTTAAAAGTTTGGCACAGCGGTCTCTTCTGCTGCATCTCTACTGCGCTGATAGTATTAGCGCTAACTTCCGGGAACTATTGAGTGGCTCCACGATCCGCCATTGCTGTAAAAAAGCTGGTCAATTGGAGTGAACGGAGTTGTCGCAACTCTCTCTCTCTACGGCTCTGGTCATTTGTAATCTGTACATGTAAACATGACATTTTAGATGTTCCTCACAAGCTACTTCAATTATTTATTGCTTACAATATTTGTTCTGTATGTGTGTGTGTTTACTCTACAGGAGGAAATGGACACAATTCCCATGGTATCGTCTCTTCTCAGCAGTCTCGCCAACTACTCAAACCTGCCCCAGGGCAGCAAAGAACACGAGGAGGCGGAAAACAACGAAGGCTCACGCAAGAAACCTGTCCAGGTAGACACACACGCTTACGGCACGCTCTCAAAGCAGCAGATATCACACATTTTCGTCTAGCTCTCGAATGCTACAGGTGTTAATTAATTGGCTGCTGCAAGACAGAGTGTATAAACATAGCAAGATATCGGATGTGACTCAAACCCGTGTGTAAATGACAGCTCTCAGCTCTGTCTTGCACTTTTGACCTGTGACCTGATCTCCCTTGGTCCCTCACCATCCCAGAGAGAGCGTGCTCATTAGAGAGTGGCCTCGATCAGCCTCATAACCTCCCACATGGCGCTGGCCTTTTACCAGTCTGTTTCTCAGTCTGTTGTGTGCAAATTTGCTTCCAGCTCTGTGTTTTATATTAAAGTACTATTAAAAAATATGCAAAAAACTTCTGCATAATAAGCAACTTCTGGGAGTCTTACTTATGCAGATGTAAGTGACGTCATGTTGTGGTGTCATGGTATATAACACATTGATAAAATTATTTATTTTAAATGACTTATACAATTTTTATCTTTTGCACCAATATAATATAAATAGATATAAGTATAAATTTAAAGGCATAATATTTGCAGCAAATTACTCAGATACTGAAGCAGTGCAATATTATTTTTGCATTTTTTATATGCTATTATATTTAGTAGTTAACCGATATATTGGCATTTTTTACATTTTTTTAGTTATGCCATTGGTAGAAATCGTGATGGTGTGAGGACTTTTATTTTGACAGTGTTGAGAGTGCCTGAGTGCATTAACCTCTTCATTAGTTTGCTGTCTCTGTATAATAATAAATTATTAGCTAGAACTGTTATAAAAGAGTAAACAGTATACAAAAAAGTATTATAGCATTTGCTTTTCTATTATTAGTAAAAGAAAGCCAAAACACTATAAGGCTTTCTCATTTACTGTCAGTATTTCACAAATACGTTTTATATCATTTAAAGAAGTGTTTGTGAAAAATACTATAATACAATTAGAGACAAAAAGAAGTTGCCATCTAAATAAATGTTTATTTTACAGATTGTTTTTTTACAAGTTCAAATTGTTTTGTTTTATTATTTATTCATTTTCAGATTATTTATGCAATTGTTATACAGTACATGTGTTTTTACTATCTTTGAATTAAATAGTGTGATATATATATATATATATATATACATATTAGTGCTGTCAAATGATTAATCGTGATTAATCGCATCCAAAATAAACGTTTTTGTTTACATAATATATGTGTGTGTACTGTGTATATTTATTATGCCTGTATATATTTAAGAAAAATGTGTTACATTCATATATTAAATATATGTATATATGATATAATTTACGTATATGAATATAAATATATACATGTAAATACAAGTAAATATTTTTTAAATATATGCTGTATGAGTGTGTTTTTATATATACATAATAAATATACACAGTACACACATATTATGTAAACAAAAACTTTTATTAAATTGTATTAATTGTTTGACAAAACTGATATATACTGTAT